TTGAAAACCACAATTACAAGATTCACATTTCTTGTGAGATTAATAACATACAAAAATAACGAGCATAACTCCTTTGGCTAAAACCAAAAATGCTGGGGTGCACTTTTGTTATGCGATGGGAAAAATAAGTAAATCATTTACTGATGCATAAGGGTTTAAAATGAAAGGCAAAGAAAATAAGAGAAAATGTAATGACACAAACTCAAGTCTAGGAATTGAGCTCAGAGGATCAGAAATATACAAAATAATGTCATCCTCATATAAAGTCCCCTCGACTTTGTTGCTACTTTATAATCTTTGCCTGGAAGGAAGTCAATAGAAATACTCTGAACAGACTTTGTTTTGCCTAAATCTGTTCTGTTTTGCTAAATTTGTTCTCTTTAGGACTGCATGTACATTTTTTTATGGTAAAACCTCAAAATGTAGTGACACAAACTCAAAATGACTAACTTCCGGGCCTTTTTCCTCAACACTTTGACCAGATTTTGGTGTTGTTTTCCTGGATGGAAGTCAATAGAAATACTTGACCTTTTTTCTGGCACTTTGAATGCTGACCATGCTAAATTTGTTCTCTTTAGGACGGCATGTACATTTTTTGGTGGTAAAACCCCAAAATGTAATGACACAAACAGAAAAGTAATAACTTCCAGGCCTTTTCAGCAACATTTTGACCAGATTATGGTGGATTTAGATCAAACAGTATGGAAGAAAACTACAAGTCTCCTCGACTTTGTTGCTTCTTTATAATCTTTGAAGTCAATAGAAATACTCTGAACATACTTTGTTTTGCCTAAATCTGTTCTGTTTTGCTAAATCTGTTCTCTTTAGGACGGCATGTAAAATTTTTTATGGTAAAACCCAAAAATGTGATGACACAAATTGAAAATGAGGAACTTCCAGGCCTTTTTCATCAACACATCGATAGAAATACTCCAAACAGACTTTATTTGACCTTTTTTTTTACTTTGTTTTTCTAAACCTGTTCCGTTTTGCTAACTCTCTCCTCTTTAGGGCGGCATGTACGTGTTCCAGCTCTTCGACTACTACGCGGCCAGCGGCATGTGTCTGCTCTTCATGGCCATCTTCGAGACGGTTTGCATCGCCTGGGTCTACGGTGAGCGCCCTTCCTCCGGCCGCCAGCGGCCACCGGGGGGCGCCGCCTGGTGAGACGTGTCCCGCTGGTGTTTTCGCAGGTGCCGACCGCTTCTACGACAACATCGAGGACATGATTGGCTACCGCCCAGGGCCTTACATCAAGTACTGTTGGTTGTTCTTCACCCCGGCAACGTGCATGGTGAGCGTCAACAAACAGGAGACTTCCTATCCGGGGTTACAGCTGCAGCCCGGGGGAGGCAGAAAGCAGAAAAACCCAGATTTAAAGGGGACGTGTTATGCAAAACCGAGTTTTTAATCATTTGATTGTGTACATTTGGGACTGTGGAGGGCCTATCAGCAGGCAAAGTGTGAAAAGAAAGTGACTCGGTCATGTTTTTGTGGGCCGCCTCAGTCTGAATCCAGGAGATAAATCAGGAGGTTTCAGGAGTGGG